ATAAATAATTAAGCATCAATGATTGTGGTCATGTTTTACCCATTCCATCGCGTTTAAGTTTGTTGGAATATTTCTCTAATTTCTGTCTAATGCATTCCCTGTTTAATATTTTTGTAAAATATGCATAAATTCTACAGAAGGATTAGGAAAAGGTCATGTGATGTGAGAGAGGGAGATTGACAGGAACAAGGAGCAGTGGAGTAAGGCAGCGCCAGTAAGACACATTTGGATTTCGAAATGAGAAGAAGAGAACCGCTTCACGTGTTTGATGGGGCATTTCCATATACTGTTTAAATACACATGTAACTGCTGCAAGCCTAAAAGACAAAATTGGGTTGATGTGTCGATGCATCTTACCATCTCATGTCAGTAGTCAGCTCAAGCCTTATCTTTTTTTTCTTCAGAGGCTGCAGACACAGTCCAGCCTATTATGAGTACAAGACAAGACAACCAAATTTATCAGACTCTGAGGAGATATTAAATGACTCATCAATCTAGAAGTGAGCACCTCAACCTATTTAGACATCAATCTTTGGATATGATGATTGATGAGTGTTGGGTTTTTTTTCCTTTTTTTTTTTTTTTATAAATTCTATTTTTCTTACAAGTTACTTGGAGGATTTCAAGGTTTCAACAGGAGATTTCACGGATTCTGCCTGTCATGTTGGTTCTTAACCATTCAACCAAAGCCTTGATGGTAGTCCCTCTTGGATTTAAATTTATATCCTTTAGCCTCGCATTTGATACATCAAATATGAACTGTATGCGATAATAAATTAAAATGTATAATTGCCAACGAAGTTTTAAATCAATTGCTTAAGAATTTTGAGGCCAAACCATTGCATATAGCCTGGTTTTTCCCAAATTTTTTCTGAATTGTTTACTTGGAATTTTAAGTGTGACAAGGTCATACGAGGGTAGTAGGCTACTTAGCAATTGCTTCTTGTATTATTGACAAATGTACGGAAAGGCAAATGATTAAATGACTTTCATGAATTCTTTATAATCGGAAGAACCATAAATTTGTCGTATTGCCTGCTGCGTATAAACATATATTTCAGTATGACCCATCGATTTACAAAATACAAAATAAATAATTTTATTATCCAAAACAAGATTTACAACAAGATTAAAGGAAAAAAAAAACTACAGGAAACATTTAACTTGAATTTATTTGAACTTCGAGGATGCAAGTAGAGGGAAACTTAAAAACAGAGGAAGTTGAAAAAGAATCTAAAACCATGGCCAAATATGATCAGAATCTGGAACGTCTGCACTCTGGAGGAAGGCCTTGAGGGAAGCGCTTTAAGTCGGTACAGTAATTGTAGATCATGAAATACTTCTGAACCCACCTTAATCTCCTCCGGCTGGTGGCGTCCAGCTCCTCCGATTCCCATGCACTGCGGGAGTAAGAGCTCGACGAGCCTGAAGTAGCCGGAACAAAGTTGAAGTTCCTGTAGTAAGCCGTAAAGGGTGCCTTTGTCCAATCAGTCTTGACCAACCCACCTCTAGTAGCCCAATCATCAGCGTTCCAGAGGCTGGAGTAAATCCTCATGGGCTGGTTCTTGGGGAAGGGCACACCAATTGACTCAGCATTCTTGAACACTCTTATGGGAATATTATCCACCAAGTAACTGATCATCATTAAGACAAGGTTCAGAGTTAGAACATAGTTTTCTCATGTTGAAGTAAAACAGAGGAATCTTAAATTAATCTTGATTCTCTCTTACATGATGTGCTGGGGTTTCCAGATGATGGAGTATGTGTGGAAGTTTCTAGTAGGGTCGAACCAGAGGTAGAATTGTTGTTCTCTGTCGCCCTTGCCCTGAGCGTAGACATTAGTGTGCAAAATGTAAGGCTCACCGGTCACGTTCCCTAGGAACTCGAAGTCTATTTCATCATGGGTTGGCCCTTGAGAAGACAGCTGCAAAAGAAATTCAACCATTAAATTTTCATGATATCAACTCACGACCATATAAAAAAATAGAAAGTGATAGAACAGAAAAAGTGACACTGTATGAATGAATGGTTGGAATTAGGCAAAAGCATGATCATACCATACCTTAAATCTTTTGCGACTTTTTATTTTTTTATTGGAGACAAACGTGACTAGTTTAATATTATCACACAATGCATATGGTATTTTAAAGGAAAAATAATAAGGGCATATTTGTGTTAGTGTTACTACGTACATAGTAGGCAGTGACGGTGCCAGCAGAGTTTCCGGCAACAAGTTTGAGCTGCATATCAATTCTTCCAAACAGATACTCTTTCTTGGACTGGAAGCCAGACCCAGAAATCTTGTCTAGCGACAAGGACAGAAGCTTCCCTCCATTGAAAATCTTAGCCCTGTTGTCACCCCAAGTTAAGTCAAAGTTTTGGTAGAAGTCCCCGGAAGCCGTGGAGCTGATAACCAAACTGACCAAGACAAGCAGAGAAAACCCATTAAAAGAGGAACCCATTTTTGTTCTGTTGCGTTCGATGAGAAAGAATGGAAAGAAAGAAAGTTGAGGATGATTTGTTTGGTTTCAAAGGAGGGGTATTTAAAGTTTTAAACAGGGGAATTGGGGGAGGTATTCCGTGGAGGGTGGGGTACGCGTGAACAATAACTGAAGGGGGAGCCAAAAGGGCAAGCTGGTGCCAGCTTAGTATTTCCCATCAAAGCTGGGAGCTTTTGTTTTGGTATTGAGTTAATGCATTATTAATAAGTTTGGTTCTTTGGATAATTGGATAATTGGATGGAATGATAACAAAAATGGGTGGTTTTGGGTTACTTGGGGAGGAAATATATTGTATGTCCAAAAATTAGAAGGGCCTCCCTTGAGTATGATTTGCAAAGAATAAGTATTATGATTGCAGAGAATAAATGGTGGAAGACAACTTGGCCTGGTATGGGAAAGTAATGGTACGATCATCCAAGGCACCACCAATCATATGCATTGTTACCCATTCAATGATTGCCACGTGGCACTTTCATATGCTAGTCATCATCGACCATGTCAATTTTGCCTGTTCATCTTCATTTGTCTTCCCCCCATGGGTTTGGCAGGGTGGATGTTGCCCCACGCTAAAGTGCTGAGAATTCCCTACCCCAATATGAAGAGGAAAAGATCACAAAGCAAAAAGCTTGCCATCCTTATCCACTAGTTCAAATTCTGTGAGCTAAACTCATCTTTTCAGGTTTCTTAGTGTTTAGTTATTCAAATGATGGTACACATTTAAGATATTGTATCTTGCCTTAAAACACAAAAGTCTATAAATTTCATGACAATAATTGTAATTTACTCTTTTCATTAAACATAATAATATCTGATATATATTTACATATTTAATGTTATGTGAGTAAGTAACTTTATAATGTCGTATGTGTATAAAAATAGTTAATATGCAAATTTTTATTACCAATTAGCTTATTGATTGTTGAAATGATCTTGTTTAAAACAAAAATGATTAGTTATTCAATCCTTGGTGATTTAATGACTATCCCCTTAAATAAATGTAATGTACATAATCACCTGAGTTCAAATTTCATCTTTACTTTCTTTCTCCTACTAATTCCCCTTGTTTAAAAAAAAAAAAAAACTAAAATGACTAGTTAAAAAAAGAAGAAAAAAAAAAAGGAAAAAAGAGGCTTTATGCTTTATATAAGTTTATTGTCTACCTGCTTTATCTTGTTTTGACACCTAGTTGTCTTGTCATAGTTACAGTACATTTTGTCCAAAAAGACAAATGAGAAGATTAATAAAGGCACTTGACTAAGATCATTTCAATATTTAGCGGATCGATTAAATCGATACAATTTTTTTGTTTGTGGCCAAAATGTCATTAAGTAGTGTCACGAGACTGCCAATGTCTGCTAGTTCAAATTAAAATGTCAATGACTTTTACGTGACCCATTGTAATTTAGAAATTTCTCAATAAAAAACAAAAATCAATCGACCATTTTCATCATTTGGATTATAAAATTATTTTACCATTTTTGTTTTTTTTTTCCCCTTTTTTCTTCTTCTCTTCATGTGAAGGACAGAAATTCGAAATTTCAATTTAGATCAACTTGGTCCATTTTGTTCACCATTTTGGCATGTTTTGTATTTTTCAAACGAAGCGAAATGAAATGAAATCACCAATAGAAGTACCTTTGAATTATTAGAAAAAAAATAATCATATTTCATAATTTAGTACAATTCAAATTGTAAAATAAAAATTATTATATAAAAAATAACTTTTAATATTAAAAAAATTATTATTTATTTAATAATTTAAATTATATAATCTTATACCGTATAAATTACACAACATCAATTCAAATTATATGATGATTTCTCATAAAAATATATAATCTTATACCGTATATATTGGACTTCTTTTTCGTGAAATAAAATATTTCTTAATAATATTAAAGGCAGACTATTAACGTAAGTATTAAGGCAACATACAATTCATCGATATTATGTCACTATCATGCGCCATTAGTTCTACAATTAGAGGATTCGGTTATAATTAAGTCAATTGTTCCTTCAAACATGAAATGGAAATCACTACAAATGGTTGGATATACGCGTTACGGTTGTATTCAACTAGTGTTGCATAAAAATTATATTCTCAAATACAATTTATTATTTCCTCCCCACAAATAATGGGTTAAAAGCAAATGTTGTAGAACATTAAAAAGAAAAAATAAATATGATAGTTTATTTATTCTCTAAACTCCATCATGAGTCATGACTTCCCTTCTCCTAGATCATTTTGGGGCCATGGATGCCCTGTGCATTATGATTATAGAAAAGAACAGGTGCAATGCAACCAAACCTAGATTCGACTCAGGTTTAAGTAAGAAAGCAACCTGACGTAGCCTAGGTTCCACCCACCTCACTGTCCCCCATTTAATGTTTGGGAACCGATGATCCGTATACATTAATATCATAAGGGAAATGATTTTGAGATTTTTTTTATGTTATTTTTTTTTATAATTTAATGTTATTTAAATAATTAAATTTTTTATTTATATGAAGCATGTGATATTAAATGTATTTAATTTATATGAAAATTATATAAAAAAATTATCTATATAACATCATCTATCTAATAAAAATGATATATAATTATAATATTGTGTAATATTATAATTTTATAGTATAATAAATTGGCATATTGTTATATTTTATTCATTTAATAACATATCATAGGATGCATTTAAGATTGCGATTGAGAATTTTTACATGGAGTCATATAATACTTTTAAATATATGTATTTTTAGTAATTTTTTTAGATTACTTTTTTCAAAAATTGCAAGAAATCATAACAAATTTACAATAATTTTATATATAAAGTCAGAAGCCTCATTTTAAAGTTTTTTAACTGTGCTTTTTATTGAAAAATATTTAATATTTAATATAATTACAAAACCACATATTAAAACCTAACTTCATATAATTTAATTATATCATAATTTATAATATTTTAATAATGCTAACAAATCTAAAAAATTAAAATTATTAAAAAAATACAAAACCACATATTAAAACCTAACTTCGTATAATTT